ATGGGGAACAAACCGGAGCAGATTCAACAATCGGATAGCAGGTTGAAGGCCGCCGCTGACATCTCGGAGCGGGCGGGAGAGGATGTCACATTAGGCAAAGTGTCAGGCGCGACATTAAATCAGAACGTCAGCTTCCCACCGGCGCGTCAGTCATCGCCTTCGGGTTATCGCTTTCGCCGCGTCAGCCGACGATGTTCTCTCGGTCTGTCGGTCTCGTCTTCTCTCATTCTGTATGATTGTTTGTTTGTCTGTCTCTTTCTTTATCTGTCTATCTGTATTTCTCTCTCTTTCTATCAGTCTGTCTATCTCTATTCTCTCTCTATTTATCAGAGTCTCTCTCTCTCTCACTCTCTTTCGCTCTTTCTCTCTCTCTCACTCTCTCACTCTCTCTTTCGCTCTTTCTCTCTCTCTCTCTCTCTCTCTCTCTGACTTGTTTGATTTCTGAATTATTTCGTTTCCAGGAACGCTCTTTGCTTGCTCCTGTACTTGCCTATTTTTGAGCGACTTAATTGGGTCTTATTTTTCCTATTTTGATCTTGATCTTATTTCTTAATCAATAATACTCAATAACAACCAGTAGTTGAGCTCAATTACAGTCTAATGTCATCCTACTTATTGCTGAAAACACCCAAATATAATAGAAATACTACTATTACTACTATTACTGCCAATAATAATCATGTGAAATAGTTAATAAGGCAAATGTCTGACAATAAAAATAAAATGTTCTTTTAACTGCCGTTGTCGATGTCATTATTGCTTCACTTTCCTCTGTCGATTGACATTACATAATCGCTGTCTCTCCGGGGTCAAAGGTCAAACTGCATTTCGCTGTGACTTTCAGTAATATAAAGGGCGGTTACTCTTATTAATGCTTCGTTTGCCTATCACAGTCTTCATCATAGAGTTTTGATATCTGTTTCTGTCTCTTTTTCTTTCTGTCTCATTCCCCTCTCTCTCTTTCTCCCCTCCTCTCCCCTCCCCCTCCCTCAATTTGTCTATCCTCTTCCCCCACCCCTTCCCTCGCCGCCTCTCGCTCCTTCTCGCACAACCTCCCATTCATGAAATCAGAAGAAAACAAACAAACAGCAGTATCAACAACGAAAGCCACTACCACCCCTGCAACATGCAACATTGCAGCGTAAGACCCGCCGATAAGACCGGCATTGTGCATATGAATGAGAGCTCATCCCGCCCTGACCCGATTGCCTCGCGGGATGGCGCCCCATCCTTATGGCATTTAAAGGATTAAAAGGCTGCAATCTATAATTTGCAACGAGCGAGGCTGTTTCAGGTGACGCAGGTGTACGTCCGCTTGTTTATAGTGATTTATATATATATATATATATATATATATATATATATATATATGTATATGTGTGTGTGTGGTGTGTGTGTGTGTGTGTGTGTGTGTGTGTGTGTGTGTGTGTGTGTGTGTGTGTGTGTGTGTGTGTGTGTGTGTGTGTGTGTGTGTGTGTGTGTGTATGTGTGTGTGTGTGTGTGTGTGTGTGTGTGTGTGTGTGTGTGTGTGTGTGTGTGTGTGTGTGTGTGTGTGTGTGTGTGTGTGTGTGTGTGTGTGTGTGTGTGTGTGTGATGTACATGTACATACACATATATGTCTACATATGTGCGTGCGTGTGCGTGGCGAGTGTTGCAGACGGGTGCTTATCGCTATGCACGGTTGCCTAATGGAGGCCACGGTATCAACAGCACGCTATCGTCGGTGGATGAGCCAGGTGACGGATGAGTAAAGTGCAGATATCATGCCAGCCACTCATATCATTTTCATATATATATATATATATATATATATATATATATATATATATATATTATATATATATATATATATATACAGGCACGCGCACACATTCGTTATATATATTATATATATATATATATATATATATATAATATATATTATGCATACACACACACACACACACGCACACACACACAAGCGCGCACACACACACACACACACAAGCACACACACACACACACGACACACTCGCTATATATATACATATTATATATATATATTATATATATATATATAATACATATATATATATCACACACACACACACACATGTGTGTATTTATTTATGCACACACACACACACACATATGTGTGTGTGTATTTATTTATGCACACACACACACACATATATATGCACAGGCAGATTTTTAAATATCTATGGGATGAGTGCGGTGAGTGGAAGTGAATCGGAATCTAATGCAAGCACTTTTTTATGGTAGAAACGCGAGTGAATAAAGATAAATTAACCTAAATGAAGCACAGAGAATGAGAAAGAGAGAATTACGCAGAAAAAAAACAAACAAAAAATGAGAAAGACCATATACTAAAAAGTATCAATAAACATAATAAAATAAAAATAAAAACAAAATACAAACAAGAAAAAAATCGAAAGAAAACGTAAATGAACGACGGAGGAAAAGAAAGAAGGAAAACGGAGGTCTACAAAGTGGGAAACGAGAGGAAATAATTTTGTTGTTTTTTTACGGGCATCGTTACCCCGTCACGCAGAGGCAGACCTCGCTTTCGTGTTCCCGGAGTAAAACCAATACCAATTAAGGTACCACCACCGATACCAACACTACCACCGCCGCTACCTCCGCTACCAACGTTACCAAGACAACCACCTCCGCTACCAACATTACCACCACCGATACCAACACTACCACCGCCGCTACCTCCGCTACCAACGTTACCAAGACAACCACCTACGCTACCAACATTACCACCACCGCTACCAACACTACCACCGCCGCTACTTCCGCTACCAACACCACCACTGCCGCTACCAACACTACCATAGCCTCGTGGGGTAATTCCACGTGGAATCCGCTTTTATCAACATTACTATAACGGACGCGATTATCATCATGGTTATTATACTTGCCGCTACAACGACTTAGGTCATCGTTGTAATTAATATCATAATTGCGCTACTATAATTACAATTGTTATTAATAGGATCACGCCTACACGAGAAACTGTCACAGCTAGTCTTCCAGCATTACACAACCACCAAAGGACTATTACAACTATTACAACAAGAACTATTAGTAACCACCGGAACGACCATCTATAACTACCCTATTACTCACCCCTATTACTATCAAACTAGTACTTCAACTTGGATAACTAGCCACGACGGCCAGGAATCCGCATCCACAGCAGCTATTTCTTCTTCACCCCCCCCCCCCCCCCCCCTTTCACCACCACAGGAGAACGGTTGACGGTTCTTTGCAAATTTGTTTATTATCAAACACCAGACGCCGCGGTGGGGGGGGGGGGAGGGGGGGGGGGGGGGTGTTCAGAAGGGGTAATGCGGGTGAAAGAAGGGGAAGAGAAGGGGAGGGGGACAGAAGGAGGGAGGGGGGGAGAAAAAAGTGTGAATGGTTTGCTTTCCTAATTTCTATCTCTATTTCTTTTTCTTTTTTCTCTGTCTCACTCGCTCTCCCTCTTTCTCTCTCTTCTATATCCTTCGCCCCCCCCCCTTGTCTCTCTCCCAATACCCTTTACTTTTTATTCCTCTTTCCTCCCCTCCAAAATCTCCCTCTCCCTCTCTCTCTTCTATATTCTTCGCCCCCCCCCCCCCCTGTCTCTCCCAATACCCTTTACTTTTTATTCCTCTTCCCCCCTCCAAATTCTCCCTCTCCCTCTCTCTCTTCTATTTCTTCGCCCCCCCCTTCTCTCCCAATACCCTTTACTTTTTATTCCTCTTCCCTCCCCTCCAAAAGCAATTTACATTCACGTCCTCGAAAAGTGTTCAGAGTTCACAAAACCATCGGCGTATTCGCGAACGTTATAAGAACGTTACCTTATCTTCGATCTCCAAGCTAAACGTTATTACCCAGGAAGACATATTGCAAATAATTTCTCGCTTCTCCACGTCTTCTTTTCTTTTTTTTTTTCTCTCTCTCTCTCCTTCCCCCCCTTATCTCTCTCTCTACCCTTTCTCTCTCTCCCTCCCCCCTTCTTTCTCTCTCTTTCTCTCTCTCCCTCCCCCTCCCTCTCTCTCCCTCTTTATTCACTTTTCTCATCTCTCTTATATTTCTCCCCCCCCTCTCTCTCTCCCTGTCACCCCCTCTCTCTCTCCCTCTTTATTCACTTTTCTCATCTCTCTTATATTTCCCTTTCTCTTTGCCTATCACATTATCACATCTCCTCCCCCTCTTTAACCCCGTCCTCACAACACATAAGCAACACGCGCACACACCCAACTCCGCAAATGGAAGTCTTCTGCAACCCAAAATACTTCCTCCAGTAACTAATTAAGGAAGGAGAGATTAGGGTAAGGGGAAATGGATATATATTTTTTTCTTCTTCTTCTTTCAAAGTTACAAATGACTGTGTCGTGGATTAGGCTTAGCTAATCCTAACGACACCCAGACTGGGAGTTAATCATGGGATCTGCAATAACTCTAGCTTAACTCTAAGCGTATGAGAAAAATACAGAGACAGTGATAAAGGAAAAGATAATAGAGGAAAAGGTAAGACTGAGTTGAGTTTAATTTTTTTTTTAAGGTGTGGCTTTGATTCTCGGTCTGGCTAGATTTCTCTGATCATTATTAGTATCATCATCATCATCATCATTACCATCATTTTTGCAATCATCATTATCATTGTTTTTATTTTTATTTTCGTTATTGCCATTATCATTGATATTATCCTCATTCTTATCATTATCATTATTATTCCCATTCTCATTTTCCTTATCATTATCACTATCATTATTATTGTTATCATCATTATTCTGATCATCGTTACTATCATATTAATATCATTATTGTTATCATTATCAACATTGTTATCATCATGGTCATCGTCATCATTGTTATTCTATCATTATCATCAATAATTATTTTTGACATTACTGTTATTATCAATACAGCATCATTATCATTATCTATCATTACTATTATTATTGTCATTAATATCACTAATATTATTATTTATTACCATTTTTATAATTATCATTCTCATCAATATAATTATCATCAACACTATCAGTAACATTATCATTTTCATTATCATTATGATCACTATTACTACAAATATTATCATGAGCATTATCATTATCGTTATCACCATCATCATCTCATCATTAACAACATTACTGTTATCATAACCACTACTGTAACTACTATTATCATCATCACTATTATTACTGTCATTACTGCCTAAGTGCGCCTCTGATGACCAGGACAATAAAAATGGTAAGCAGAATTTTTATTACTTTTTTTTTCAATTTATTTTTCTATTTCTTTTTTACTCTTTTTACGTGGTTTCCAGTCTTCCATCCTACCACTACAACGCCTACTGCTACAACAATTAGTCTACTACTACTATTGCTGCTACTAATCCGCCTCATAATCATTCTTTAACTATTCCTCCTCCTCCTACAACAACAACAACTACTACTACTATCGTGACTACTATTAATTACTATTACTACTACTACTATCGCGACTAAAACTATTACTACTACTACTACAACTACTGCTACTACTACTATCCCGACTACAACTATTACTACTACTATCATTTACACTAATAATAATAATAATCGCCAGATTTTGAGATTACATATTCCTTCGACGATAAAGAGCTTACCAGGAAAAAAAAGTCTTTCGAGGTAACCTCCTTTTGCTCGTTCAACCTCGTCAAAGAAAACGAGGGGAGACGTTAGGGGTGGCTGATGTAAAAACGAAAAAAAATCATAAGTATTTTTTCCGGTGGATAAAAGGGAAACGCGGGAGAGGGAGAAGCAAAATGAACGGGGAGGACCGAGAAACTGAACGGTAAAAGAGAGGAGGGACAAAGAGGGGTTAGTGAAAGAGAAGAGAGAGAGAAAAAAAAAGAAAAAGAAAAAGAAAACAAAAAACAAAACAGAAAGCGAGGATGAGTATGGTGAAAAAAGGGGGATAACGCAGAGGGGCAAGGAAAAGGTCGAGACGAGGAAGGGATAAGAGAATAATGGAGTAAAGAAAAAGAATGATAATCCCTCTCTCTAACTCTCCCTCTCCCTGCCCCCCTCCCTCCCTCCCTCCCTCTCTCTCTCTCTCTCTCTCTCTCTCTCTCTCTCTCTCTCTCTCTCTCTCTCTCTCTCTCTCTCTCTCTCCCTCTTCCGCTTGGGAGTAATAAGGTAAATTAATTGCCTTGTTTTATGAAGTATGCCAACGCAGCAGCATCCAGCATATGCCGTTGACCTGTCTGTCCGGCCATGACAGGTTTCTGGGGCGGAAAGCTCTATCAGGAACACTTCTAGAGATAAAACAGTAGTGCTGGACAATTCGTGTGATCCTGCCTTTTGAACACGCTGAACTGTAGTGTTTGGCCTAATGTCACAAGTACATAGACATAATTCATGTAAATCGGTAAGTACGTAAATGTATGTCTATAGATACACACTCTCTCTCTCTCTCTCTTTCACACACACACACACACACACACACACACACACACACACACACACACACACACACACACACACACACGCACACACGCACGCATACACACATGCACTCACACACACACACCACACACACACACACACACACACACACACCACACACACACACACGCACACACACACGCACACACGCACACACGCACGCACACGCGCACACACAACAACGGGTCTGAAAGTACTCGCCATAATAAACTTGTTTACACACCGTACTTTTATGGCAGTCGTGAACCTTTCCCTCACTTCACGCCCTCCTACCCTTCTGCACTCACTCCCGCCCTGCACTTTCGATTCCCCTACGTGATGTTCCTTTTCGTTGCACGCTATTGCTTTGACTCTATCATTGTTTTTATTTTCTTAGTTTCTCTTTCTCTCGGTCTCAGTTTCTTTCACGGTCTCTCGGTCTCTCATTTTATCTTTCTCTCATTCTCTCTCGTATTCTCATTTTCTCTCTCTCTCACTTTCTCAATCTCTCTCTCTACCATTCTCCCTCTCACTCATTCTCATTCTCTCTCTCTCTCTCTCTCTTCTTTTATGGTTTGTATGTGATAACAGTGGCTGATAATAACCTTCAGTATGATATGACGTTTAAATATTTTCCAAGGTATTTTTAACAACTTCCCCCACACTTACATGGACCGCGATCCCATTTGTGTTGAGGCTGCTTAAGTAAATGTTTTCTGTACCGGGAGTAAGTATGGTCGTTCTAGTTACTTTATGTGGGTGTGGAGGCGTCCCTGCTGCTGTTTAGCTTATAGGCCTATTCTGTATATGGAAAATACCTATGTATTTCTCATAAGCGCCCAGACACACAGAAATATCGTGTGTATGTGTGTGTGTGTGTTTATGTGTGTGCATATATATACATATACATAAATATGGATACATACATACATATACATATATATGTACATATATGTATATATATGTATATATAAATGTGTATGTATATATATACATATATATATATATATATATATATATATATATTATATATATATATAAATATATATATATATATACATAATTTGCACACGCCTACGCAAATAATCTTCTTGCAGAGTAAAACCGTCCACCAAATACATTTTTGTCGTCGTTTGCTAAAAATCATTACATTGTGTTTATGTTGCAAGACCGTTGTTATAGTTTTCTGCTGGTCTTTCGCTGTATTATGCAACGCGGAAAGCTTTTAAAACGATGTTGCAACACGCCGCTGCAAAGAGCCCGGCCATCATCGGCAGTTCGCCATTCCCAACATATTTTCTTATTCGCGGAGGGAGAGCAAAGCGCGGATGGAAATGAATTACTGAACGGGTGCAGAAAGGATGAGTGCTGATGGATGGTATGGTGGCCATGGTGATGATGGTGGTAGTGATGGTGATGATGATGGTGGTGGTGATGATGATGGTGGTGCTTGGGGTGATTCTCGATGGTGTATGTTGACTGATTTCGCGAACGGAAGTAGAAAGGGGAACTGCTGATGGATAGTTGGTGGCCATGGTGATGATGGTGCTGATGATGGTGGTGATGGTGCTTGGGATGATTTTCGGTGGTGTGTGAACGGAAGTAGAAAGGGGAACTGCTGATGGATAGTATGGTGGCCATGGTGATGATGA